TTGTATATATATAATTCAATACCTCAATTTCATGATTTTACTTTCAATTTGGGCAAAATCATTAATTATCATCATGAATCAATTTAGGGTTTTTAAGCGAAATTAAACCTTTTCACAAAACACATTTTATTCCAACCCTTCTATTATTTTTACACCCAAACTCATGACCCAAGATAATAACCCAACAAATGATCCCAACTCTCTTCAAACCCCAACCCCCAATCTCGTAATTCATCACAATATGCATAAAAATATAAACTTTTGTGTGTAGATAAAGAAAATACCACAAATCTATCCATAGACGAAGATATTGAAAGAGAACTAGAAACCCCTACCTCTTGAAGCCAAGAGATGACGACCCAAAAATCAATGGCGACGAAGCCACGAACCAATCGGACCAAAGGAAGCTTTTGATGAGATCTACACTTTTTCTCAAAGGACCATGGTGGAACAATCACTCTAGGTGAGTAGATCTAGAGATCTTAGTGCCAAAAGCTCGAGTTTAGAGAGAGAGAGAGGAGAGCTCACGGTTTGAGAGAGTGGAAAGAAGAGAAAAAATGAAATCAAACATGTTTGGAGCCTATTTATAGTGGTAGAAAAGTGGCCCTAAAGTCAATAAAACAATGGGCCCAAAACGCCTCAAAAGTAGGGCCCAAACTAGCCCAAAAATCTGAAAAAAAAAACACACAGGGGTCGACCCTTTCAGGCGAAGGTGTCGACCCTCAAGGAAGAAAAGCAATATGTGCAACAGGCAAGGTGTCGACCCTTTGACCGGTCGGCCCTATTTTCCACCAACCAACAACACAGATTTTGCAATATACAAGGGTCGACCCTTCCCAGACTGGTGTCGACCCTTGTGGACAGCAACAAGAGGCAAGTGTCGACACCACCAAGGCTGGTGTCGACCCTATTTTCCAGCGGCACTTCCAAAAACATGACAACATGCAAGGGTCGACCCTTAGGAAGGATAGTGTCGACCCCAAGGCAAAATTTCTAAGTTTCTAAGGAACTTTTGACCAGAACAAACGCAAACAACCAAACCCAACAAGATTAAATCGGATTACACTCCTCCAAAACCAACATTCAATAACTCCAAAGACTCCCAAAATGAAAATAAGGGAATTAAATGCACTCTCCAAAGGATTTAAAGGATGCGAGTGTTACAAATACAGAGTCAAAGTTCAAAAGGTTGTACTTGTGTTGGGGTCCATTGAAGAAAGCTTTTATGAATGCTTTCAGGCCAGTCATAGGAGTTGATGGATGCCATTTGAAAGGGTCACATGGTGGTATTCTCTTGAGTGCTATTGGGATAGATGCGAACAATTGCATATTTCCATTTGCCTATGCAATTGTTGAGAAAGAGAAGAAAAAAACATGGTTGTGGTTTCTAGAGCTACTAGGACATGATCTGAATATTGTAAACTCTCATTGCTATACCTTCATGAGTGATAAACAAAAGGGTTTGATTGGTGCAGTGGCTGAGTTGTTCCCAAATGCTTCACAGAAGTATTGTGTGAGGCATTTGTACAACAATTTTAAGGGTGAACACAAGGGGTTGGTTCTAAAAGATCTGTTGTGGAAGGCTGCTAGGGCAACAACCGTTCCTGTATTTACCAGAGTGATGACAGAGATTAAAGAAGTTGATTGTAAGGCATATGATTGGTTAGTTGAAAGACCCCCAATTCATTGGAGCAAGAGCAACTTTAATACTTTTCCAAAGTGTGACCTTTTGCTAAACAATCTATGTGAGTGTTTCAATTCAAGCATCTTGGAAGCTAGGAGTAAATCTGTGGTTACAATGTTAGAGAAGATTAGGTTGTCGTTGATGGAAATAGTTCAAAAAAGAAGAGATGTAATGCAAAGACACAATGGTCCTATATGTCCTGAAAGTGAATGCAGGTGGATGGATTGGTAGTGAGCAATTTGAGGTTATAGGGCCATATGGTGAGCAATACAAGCTGGACTTGCAAGCTTGGACTTGTGGCTGCAGGAAGTGGGATCTATCAGGCATTCCATGTGCCCATGTTGTGGCTGTTACAAATTTCTTGGGCCAAGAACCAGAAAAATATGTTCATCAGTATTACAAGGTGGAGACTTATCTGAAGATCTATGACAATATGTTGACTCCTATTAATGGTAGAGAAATATGGCCAAGAACTGAGTATGCAAAGTTGTTGCCACCTGATGGTAGAGAAATGTGGCCAAGAACTGAGTATGCAAGTTGTTTCCACCTAATGTGAAAAAGAGAGCTGAGAGACCTAAACAAAACAAAAGAAAGGAGACTGAGGCACCAATTCAAGGCACAAAGCTAGGAAGGCAGGGCACTAAAATGACTTGTAATAATTGTGGGAAGGTGGGACACAACAGGAGAAGTTGCAAGGTCAAGGGCAGATTCAACTACATGCAAGAAAGCCAAGCTCAGGGGAGCCAAACTGAACCAAGCCAACCTCAGAGCCAATTAACTGCAGAAAAACTTGATGTCAAGAGACACATGAGACAGAAGAAACTGGCTGCCAGTGTTCTTCCCCTTTTTTTTTTTTAAATATTTTAAATAGTAACTTAACTGTCCTATATTTGATTGTGTTTAATTATGGATAATTCAATCTTATTGTAGGTTAAAAGGAGAGTGGTACAAGGAAGTCAATCAACTCTATCTCCAATGAGTTCAACAAGCACACCAAAGGAAGGTCAAATGATGTGAAGAGGCAAGCTAGTGTACAAAGCTAGTGGCATTAAATCAGCATCAACTGGACAGAAAGAGGGAGCGCCCACTTGACATTTTTTTTTTTTGGGTTGGATAGAAGAAGGAAGCATCTACATGACTTTCTCATTGGGGCTTTTTGTACATGTAATATTATTATTATTTTTTTTTTGGGAAAGGTTGTCCTGAACTTGTTAACTATGTAAAGGTAGTATTTTGGTTGTCACAAGCAATTGTGTGTTTTGAAAACTTGAATGATAAATTTATGACTGTTGCTTTTGTGCATGATGCTCTATTTTAATGGATGGTACTCCTCATTTCTATGTAAATGTAGCTTGTGTTGGTTTTGGTTGCCATTACATAGATGGATTCCAATTGTGTGTTTTGAATAAATTCTACTGATAGGTTTTTTATTCATTGAATGAATGCCATTTGATGGATGGATGCCAGTGATAGGTTTTTTATTCATTGGTTGCCATTTGATTGATGGATGCCAGTGATAGGTATTTTATTCATTGGTTGTGAAGGGGCCATTCAAAGAGGCCACCAATTAGTTATTTTGATGGATGGATGACAAATAGTTAAAGTAACACACAACGCCACTTTTGTTTTGTTTTGTTTGTTTTTTTTTTTAATTAAATGATAATGCCCTATTTTTGTAAGGAAGAACACAAATTGTTTTTTAAGGGACAAACAAAGGCTGTGATGCTTTGTTTTTCTCAAGAGTAAAACCTTAACACAAAATCTGAAATTTTCATTCAAAATACTTTCCTCATTACATTTTAGTCATAATATTTCCCCCCATTACATTATTCATTCATTCATAATAGTCCCCCATATTACATTCTTTCTTACACTACATTACAAACCACATTGATAAAATGATACACCATGAGGTAGCCAAGCATATCCATAGCTTTCTCTCTCTTCTATTCCTTGTCTGGAATCTTGCTTCTAGCTTATTGACCTTCTTCAACAGCCCAGGGATGATTTGCACTGCTCGTGAGCACATAGGTAGGTCAACCCAAGTGAACTGATTACAACCATTCGTGGGATAGCTGAGGAACCTCCTACCTGGATTTGCATCAGTCCATGATGTTTGTTTCACCCTTCGTCTTCCATAGCAAATGCATCTCAGGTCTTCCATGTCACTTGCACTCCATCTTCCTTCAGTTGAGCTCAATCTTCCCAGATTTCTTGACCCTATATTCCTCATTCTCTCTTACCACCAAACAAATGCTCTATTTTTTTTTTGGTTGGGAGCTTGCCTCTGTTATATAGTAGAAGGGAGATGTTGCATATGGCAGGAAACCCTCTTATATTCCCTCTAAAAGAAAGTTCAGGTGGACAGCTCATCACATTCCGTCCAATTGTGGACAGAAGGTGACGATAGGGGTCTAATTGATCAATTTGTGGAAAGTTCAGGTACTAAATTGAAATAAATAGAAGTATGGGGGTGCACGTGAAAAACTAGTGATAGTTTGAGGGTAAAATGATATTTACTCAAAAAATAATCAGCCCACGAATGAAAATTTACTTAGAAGGTGAACTAGGCTACCCATCAGAATATTGGCTTGCTTGTCGTTTGTTATCACTCTTCCGCTTAATTGATTCCATGACCTCATCTTCTTTCTTATCAATAGAATCCCCGAAGCTAGTCATATGTGATGTGCTTTTAGGTCTAGCAGATTCAGGCTCATCAATATCTTGTTCCTCATCCTCCGGGGTGTACCTGCGATACTGCCAGCACAACTTACAGAAAAATATTGTAAGGGCATGGAAGCATGTTGTGCCACAAATAAGGAGTAGGCCTCTAAAGCTAGTGAGAGACAGAATGTTTTCATCGACTTGGTTGGCTTACATAGAGCACCTATTGAGCGATATCCATCTATCATGGATTCTTTGGAGATCACCATTCTCTGAAAGTCATAGAATAGTAGTTGACAAGTCCATCACAGGAGGAGAGTCTTTATGAAATGCTTGAGTTAGGAAATTAAACATCATAGTCATATTGGACCTTTATGCTATGTATCAAGTTACATGGTAGATTAAGGCTGTGTATTTGGATCAAGGATTTGTGGAGGACAAAAAAAGAAAAAGAAAACGAAAAGTGAATGAAATAAAAGTTCATTTTTATTTCCCTTTCTTTTCTATCCTAAAATTCTCACTTAAATCCTTAATCCAAACATAAGCTAAAGATAACTTTGTCAAGAAAAGTTCTCACTACACATAGACATGTTTATACAATATTAGCAACAACCCACAGAATCTTACTTTCTTCTTGGAAATCAAATCATAGTGATTGGAATAACATAAGCACTATTTGATAAATAAAAAAATAAAAAATAAAAATAACATAAATGCTAGAGCCTAGAAGCATATAAGATTTGGCCAAAACTCAAGTCTGATATAAAATAGATATCAAATTTAGGCAACAAGGATATATTTTGGTAACAGCTCACATGTCATGCTTTCTATTGATATTAACTTGTCACCTTAGAGTCTTATTTGATTGAAGTTTGGCTTAGCCATTCCAAATATTGCAGCAATAATTACTTCTTTAGGATTATACTAAGAAAATACTTGCAAATCCCTATCCGCTTTTAGTAAATTCTTGTCCCATAGTTCTAAATTTGCAACTGGTCTCGTATAATAAAAGCTCAACGTAAGGAAGCTCGTCAACAATTGCAGTTGCACTGCCTACTTTTGGACCTTTGTGGAGGGCATCAACAATTGCAAATGATCCATCTTGAACTCTAATTGCATCTGTACATAAGATCAAGTTGTCAATCCCTTCAATTTTTGACGTCAACTGTTGCACTGTGAGGATTGATGTCAAGTTAACAATGTAGCTTGAATTGATAAGTAGCACTAAAAAGAGCCATAAGATCAGCACCACACGTCCCATGACAATTGAAAATTTATGAGAAGAACTACCCTACACTTGACCTAGAGTTAGCAACGGTGATTTTTGCCTTAAAAATCTTGAGGCATTATCTATACGGTGAGAGTTTTGAAGTGCTTTCAAATCATAAGAGTCTAAAATATATGTTCTCGCAGAAAGATTTGAATTTGAGGCAGAGAAGGTGGATGGAGTTCATTGAAGATTATGACTTTGAGTTGCATTATCATCTAAGGAAGGCCAATGTGTGTAGCTTGACATTTCGTGCTCCTTTTGGATACGACAAACCATACAGTTCGAACTCCCATGGTTCTGAATCTGATTCCACAAGTGTAATGCGAAATAGATAAACACAAAAGAGTCCAAATCCGTCAATTATTTTGGAAAGTCAATTTTGAATCAAAATATCAAAAATGGACTGCTTTGCTAGATACAGAGTCCCCACCTAAATATTTTTGGAAAATTTAGGAAACCCGAGACTCATGCCAAAGGCCATGTGTCCATCATTGCCAAAGTGTCTCGGCTCGGGAACTTATGTACGAGAGGGAAAGGTCACGAATTGAGCACCCCCGCTTGCCTGATCAAAGATCGGCCTCTACTAATCATGATGTGATTCTTATTTACGTTATATGCTCTTGTTTCGGTTATTAGGCTAAGTTTACTATGTGACACACACACAAGTATAGACTAATTTGCAAAAGTTGGAATATTTTGATTTCATGTTTGTTTTGAAAAAGTGTTTTGATTATGTACCACTTGGAAAAGTGGTATCATAGGTACATTCATCAAATTATCCCAAATGAGGCAATTAGCCATCATCTACAGGCATCCAAATAGATATATCATTTAAGCACATAGCCTCATGGTAATGTGCTTGGTATGGCAACACTCACACGCATGCAATATGCTAAAGAAAAAAATGCTCATCTAGTACTCCAAGGCAAGCCAAAGAAAATAAAATAGTTAGAAAAAATGCATGATCCTAACTAATGCACTATGACTAATGCAACATATACAAGATGCAATTAATAGGCTCAGCTCCTAAACATGGCGTGTGAATCAACTTGATAGCATGCAGTTCAAGCACGTACTCAAGTAAGCAATAAATAGCAAATGTGAGTTAGAATGGTGTGCCAAGCCTAATGCATGCAAGACAAATGAATGCAAACCATGAGAAATACTAAGTAAACATGATGCTTTATTCTACCATCATAAGTGGGTAAATAAAAGGGAGAAAGACATGGGGTTGGAAGACATGCACATTATTAAATTTGCGCCCTCCCACAGGAGGGTGCGAATAAACTAACTAGCTAACTAATTACTACGAATTAACTAACTATTACAAATCAAATTAAATAAACTAACTATGCTTGCTAATTATTACAACGCCACAATTAATTAACTATTCTAGCTAATTATTACAAATTGGAACTAACTAATTAATTACACGAATTAATTAATTACAAATTAACAATACGAATACCTAAGTTAAGTAAGTAACTACTCTAACTAATCAGCCCCGGGAAGTGAGGAATGCTAATGCATGCACGCGGATTTCCACCCGAAAAAGTCCCCTATTTTGCTGCCAGAATGCCTCTATTGCACAATTAGAAAATTGCACTTTTTTTTTTTTTTTT